TGCCTATTTCATTCTATCTCCTCCTTTTTTTTTACGCGAGCAGCACCGTAAGATAAAATAGAATTAGCCGGATCGGTTGACGATGTTTTTTTCTTGTAATTTATCAGATTCAATTACGAACGAAGCGATCGGCATTTTGAAAACAGACTGGTTAGCTGTTACAGGCAATATACCGGCTCGTCGAAAGGGACGAGGTTTGTTTAATTAGTATTGTCGGCCTGTAGTTGTCATAATTTTTCACAACATGCAAGTCTAATTATTCCGCGGTAAGTTCAAGGCTGAATTTTAAAACGTTGAATCTCAGCGCCAAGTCGAATAACTCTGCTTCGTTCTACGCGCGCCTTTTTTGCCTCTTCTTTTTTTTTTTTTTTTTTTTCATTTTCTGTTCCGTTTCGCAACGGATGCAAAAGATGCAATCGGTTTGTTTCTTTGAAGTTAATTCACAGGGGTTGAATTGAATTCGCAGACGCGAATGGCTGCCAATTACCGCAGCCGGCGTTGATAATAATTCGATCGAGCGGAGTTTGCCCCGGCGCTTATGCGCTGCTTGTATTTAAATTACGTTATTGCCGCACAATAGTTTCGTTTATCGTATACGCCCAGGGAAACAATACAGCGCGGTGTACCGTAGTTCGAACTATGTTCAATCCCATTGTATTTTATTAGGGCCGTTCCAATAAAATCCGATTACATGAAAAATTGATGGGCCGCGCTCGGGCTTGTTCATTTACCGATTTTACATTTTCCACTCCGTGCGCCGTGTTGGATCTTCCAAAACTTTGAACGCTTGCAACCGCCGAGCTATAACGTGAATTTTTTTTTTGGAGGGGGGGGGGAGATTTTCAATCCTTTTACGGATAAATATTGGTCCGATGAAAATATGGCGATCCACAGGAACATGAAGAATTACACCGAATTTCTAAATAAATTTCCGCGGTGCTTTATTTTATCAAGTCATCGTTATTAGATGTCGTTATTTTATGTGTAGTATAATAATGTATGTACATGTTATATATGTATATACACGTACGATGTATTTACAAATAAATAAAGAGAGAGAGAGAGAAATATAATGTTATTACATTTTTATACAATATTACAATTTGTCAAAATTTGTGGCTTTTAGTGATATCTCATGCTGTTCAATATAAAATAGCTTAGAAAATACATGTACGACTTAAATATTCATTCTTTTTGTAATTCATCGATCGTAATTCTTTCACTCTGCACATCCATGAAGCAGAAAGTATTTGAGAAACGTTACTCACTGATATCTCGGCCGATAAAGTAGGAAACTACATAACCCATAACTTTGAATCGCGTATTTTTTTCAATAATCTCCATTAATGAAACTCACCTATATTCATATTTTCTTGCAATAAAGTATAAATCAATCGTAAAGATTTGTAACAAATTCCCGTGAATAAAATGAAATAACGATTTTTTTTTACAGAAACCTGCAAATTTACGGCATAATGTCGAAATTTATCACAGATGTCGTACTCGTCGTTTCACAATCGATTGCTCTTTGATGCTTCTATACATTATTTTCTATCACCAATAATATTACTTTTTCGAAATTGTTATCTCGTATCATTTAACGATTATTATTGCTTTTTAAAGTAATCTTGTACATCCTGTCTTATCGAAAACAACCTATTCCTTGAGAAACAAATAATCGATCTCCGTTTCCACGAACTATATGTACTCTAGATACCATTCACAACGCACTTCTCATTAGGATTGAAAAAGCGCGGGAAATCATTCAAGTGGATTTAGCCAAGAAGATTGTATGTGCATTCAGTATCGATTAAAATGAATTCACATCGCTTTAGTACGAGGACAAAACTAATTGTCTACTATTGTATCTATGATTTGTGTTTTCCTTTCTTGTCCTGTGCGTCCAAACGTGCAAATAATTTTACTAATATGAAATTCAATATCCGACAGCACCACTCGGTTGTTTGCTTGTAGAATTCATTTATTCCTTGTAAAAATATCACCAATGGACAAGTACACGTTGTGTAATTCGATAATTCCAGTGGTTCGAGATAATTCTAAATCAGCAAAGAAAATCGTATCAATAGATTTCAAAGCAACTCGTAACTATTTCAAATATTATCAGTGCAAACGTGAAGGAAACGAGTTGATTGAAATTGCAAGTCTCCTCGGTCTCTTCGCCTCTGTCTTCCTGCGTGCTCCTTCATCTCCGTTAAAAAACAAAATTATATATTTACCTTGGCAAGGATTGAAACCGATTTAACTAAAATTGATTTGTCTTTGGCAACTTTCAACTCCGCGACCATGAAAGTTTCCGGTTCAGAAACGATTCGGTTAAGAGATTAATGAAAATTCTGACCATCTCGGAGCGGAGTATATTCGTTCGGTTGTATTTATCCACCTTGAAACGTCCTTGGCTTCTCTGTTGGAAAATAAAAGAAATTGCCATCGCCTCCTCTTCTCAATGAGCAAAACAACTCTCCTCGCCCAAGGATAAAGAGAGAGAAAGAAACTTTTTCACTCCTGTCTGCCGAAAACGCGGCCAATAAGTTCCCCGAAGGTGGGGGCGGCATGAGGACTTTGGAAAAGCTCGCTCATTAATCTCGCCACGCTGGCCACGATATCTCGGTGAGAGATTCAATTTCTTAAATTAGACAGTAACGTTCGCTTACCTCGAAGTCGTTTCGGGCATCCCCGACGTCTGGCGTCTCTGTGTTCGCGGTGGACTGCCAAGGAAATAATCGTGCGAGTACACTGTGGAACAACTGGGACGGACGTGATATTTCTCGTTATGTACACATATCAAGAATCGACGCATGACCAAAGCACAGATATAATATATATACATACACATAATGTGTGTGTGATTCACATGAACGAACGACGTTCTAAAAACTTGTGATTTTTATTTAATTAATAAACGTGTTTTGTATGT